TGACTACTGTTCATGCATATTGTTGATCTATCATTAATCAGATCTTTAGATTGTCAGCTTAGTAGTGTTTGTGTGTTTATAACAAGTGTAAAGGTTAATTCATTGTGTAGGAATAGCAGCTAATGCTCGGCTTAAAAAAAACTCAAGTTTTACAGCCTTCTTTGACTGAACAGAAGATGATCTCACTATTAGTCAAACTTATTTGTTTCACTATTAGTTGTTCGATTTTTGCATCACTAAATTCATGGATTGCTAAATGCTAACCATAGTACCCCTCTATGACAGGTCACAGGTGCTCGCCTGCTGCTCGCCTGCTGCTGCTGTGTGCTGCTGCGTGCTGCTGTGTGCTGCTGCGTGCTGATTTGCCGTTGCTGCTGCTGCGTGCTGATTTGCCGTTGCTGCTGTTGCGTGCTGATTTGCCGCTGCTGCTGCAGTTTTATTTTGCTGTGTATTAGACATTTAGAGTTTAGACAACATGCTGTGTATCAGTGTATGAGATTATTGTTATTTGTTAAGCACTATAAAGCATTAAAGTGTAAAGTGTAAACATGTTATTGACTTATTGTTAAACACTTTATATAAAACTATAAATTGTCAAGGCTGGTTTTCAGGTCTACCTGAACCTGACCTGAAAACCTGACAGGTCAGGTTCAGGTTTTAAGTTTTACATTTTTTTATTTTCAGGTCAAGTTCAGGTTTGGGGGTTCAGACCTGAAAACCTGACAGACCTGATCAGGTCTGACCCGACCTGACCTGATTGCCACCCTTAACGATTTCCTCAAATATTTCCGAGTCACACTAGTAGGATAATCATATCCTAGTCAAATGATTTAGCATTGCAGGGAATTGGGTAAAACTTTTACCAGCTATCCGCGATGTTCCTAAGTTTGAATATGCTCGCACGGGTTAATTAGAGGTCCAATCAGTTCAACAAGCCAATTAATTCAAGCAGTAATTAGAATCAAGATTTTTGTGCGCAGTAATTATAATTCACGCAGTAATTGAACTTTTTTTTA